AGAAATATAACTTTTGTATCTGATAAGGTCAGTCAAGTCCTCTCAGGATTTATCCTGTAGTCCTATACCGTACTTTCTAGATCCTCTGTCAGTGTCACCACGTGAATGAGTCATGGCCATTGCTTGACCAATTTGCTCCTGTGAAAGCCTGAAAGTTTTCTCTCCAGCTGACTCTCCTTAGGCACACTCTACATCATTGATCACATACCTCTGTGGCTCCATAATCTCCTTGATCAGAAAATTTGGGGGCACAACTGAGTTACATGATGTTACAGTACAGGCTCTCTTATGTCCTCAGTCTTCACTGACCTTGAAAACGAGGGCCAAAATGTTGGCTGACCTTGCAGATCTTCCTTTTCTCCAATATTTGATCTGCAAACTTACGTTGTTAACCCTCCAGAAGAGAAGCTTATTATTACCCTGTAGCATTTGCAATTCAGTTTACCCTAACTATCTGTCTAAATATCAAAAATCTTAGGCATAATATATAACAGGTATTTTCCATCAAGTATTGATGTGTTGAACTTTAAGTCCTTACAAAATATGAAAGAAATAGGAATAAACATGTATTTTTACACAGAAATTTAGAAATCTATCCATATACAGCATTGTAGCAGGACAGTCCTGTGACATTTTTTTTTTTCTTTTTGTCTTTTTTGTTTTTCATTTATTAACCATTAAAAAAAAAAAAAAAAAACCAAAACTTTTACTTGGAGATAGTATGGTAATAACTGGTATGTCATGACAAGAAGTATGTATTTAGAAGACGAGAATGACAGGCATTCCAAGTGTGACCCTTCTATTACATACTGCTATCTTCAGTGCAGTTGCTTGGTTCACAGGTATCAGCATATATAGTCAGTCAGGCTGAGAATCCTACCAAGTAACTGCTAGTTTCAAAAACCTGCTAATGTTTCTCAGGATCACATCCTTGCCCATCTTGTGTGTACAAATGTATGGCTTTGTCCCTGTCATGTTTCCCAGCTTTTCTCCTTACCCTCTCCTCATTGTCCAATCCTCAAGTTTTCACTTTCCTTTAGTTGTGCTATACTATAATGCATATTTTAAACAAAACTAAGTACAGGAAGTTATTTTATTACTAACAACAAAATTAAACTTTTGAAACTTTCTAGAGGTGCTGATAATTGATGATTCAGCCTACTTTAAAAAAAATAGGTTTATTATTAAGACTATGGACTTGTTTTTCTGGGAAGAAGCAGTTTTCAAGGCTGGCCAAATAGCTCAGCAGATTAAAGCACTTGCAAGCAGGCACAGAGGCCAGAGATTTGATCCCCAGGTCTGCCATGCCGGCAGTGCCACCGGGGCACACCAAGATGGCAACTGAGACTGGGTAGGGAGGCGCACACCTGTAATCCCAGCTCTTGGGTGGCTGTAAACAGGCAGATCACTATGAGTCCCATCTAGTAGTGAGACACTGGACACCCTGTAGACCCTGCACTAAAATACAGACGGAAAAAAAAAAGGAGAAGCAGTTTTCAGTACGCTAAATGGCACTGAATAACATGAATTCCTGTATTTATTTTTTGGCATCCATCTCCTATGTGCTTTTTCTCCAAAAGTATATTCTCTACTTCTATTTATCTCTTAATTGTTTCAGAATTGTCAAAACATCAAAGTCTGTAACAAAATATAGACCCTACTTTGTTTTCTCTCTGAAATTAGTTTTTTTTACTAATGTCTAGCTACAAGTAATTGACAGGAGGATGAGTTTTTAATTACTCTGCATGATAAAAAATATATTTTGACTTCCAAGGTTAAAAAAAATCCAATCATTTTATAACCAAGCTTGTGGGTTTTCTGGATTCAGAGAACAAGTAAGTGAGTGACTGAATTCACTCCAATCAAGGATTAATATAGCTATGGAAGTCTTCATATGATACAAAACAATGTAATATAATTAACAGACCCAACCCAGAAGAACTAAATATTTGAGTCTCTTTATCTCCTTTAAATCAAATTTTCCACAATTATTAAACTAGAGCGGGAAGGTGATAGCTCAGAAGTACACAGCATGCCTAGATATGCAAGGCTCTGGGCTTAATCTCTAACACCAGGGGAAAAAATATTTTGTCATCTAAAAATTAGGAAAGCCATTGTTGTGCAGCATCTTGAATTTTTCATATACGATGTGCTGAATGCTACAGATACCTCTTAGCTATTAAAATTCATTTGGTAAGTCGGTGATCGAAAGATTAGTATCTCCATTAATTTGTACAGACACAATAATTCTATTCCTATAAATGCCAGAAAAGTAGATGTGACTGTAAAACAAGTGTCTACCTTAGTCATATCCTTTATGAAATACAGTCAGCCAACTGCCATGTTAGTCTACATCATCTAGATTTCTTTTTCCTCTTCTACCTTTAGACATTTACTTATTTCATTATTTACTAATGCTTGTACCAGAGAACAGGTGAGATGGAAAAGAAGGTGCAATTGAAACCAGTCAGTTTTACTCCTCATTAGCAACTCTGCTGAGAGGGGGGGGAAAAAAAAAAAAAAGAAAGAAAGAAAGAGGGGTGGTGGGGGTGGATAGCTAGGATCAGAAACCAACATCTAAAGTAAAACTCTGAAATTGTAAGTTTGTTTTTATGATTCATGTCTTTCTCAGGCAAATTAGGATCCAACTATAAAACTAATGCATGTTTCACATGTGCACACATTGTAAGCAATCTAAAACAATGTATCAGTAGGTCCCAGCCCCTGGTTTAACAACAAGGGTATTCTGGATCTTTCCATAGACACCTGTGAGTCCCCCAAGGACAACTGGCTCTCTGGATGTTAGGTACTTGGCAAGTTCAGTGTATGGCTGCTATCATGAAGGTCCCACATTTGTTTCCTTTCTCATTCTCCTCTTGCATCTCATATTCTTAAATGAGTATAACTTTAGCAAGTCAAAGTATAATATATGGAAGATATTTATTAAAAAGATGAATGAGGGCAAGAAGAAAAAGAAAAAGGAAATTAAAGTTTTGGAAACGAGCTAAATATGAGAGAAGCTTCCAGCAGAGTCAGACAGGTGTGAGAAAATACAGGCTTGGAGACCAAGTCACCTTATTCTCCATTCCACTTTCCACAGGATGATCACAAATCACCAGTGTGTGTTCTCTGTGTAGCCCACAGTCTTGTTTTACATGGATCAACACTGATAACTCAGCTGTTCAGGATTTCTTTTAAAAGTGGGCAATCTCATAATGTTGAGACATGTGGCTGAATGTCAATAAGGAGTTGGACTACGCTGACGAGGGTGGGATGTGAAATCTACTACATGCCAGTCTCACTGCAGCCCATCCTGGTGGGGAAGTCTGTTTGTCATCCCTGTCACAGGATGAACTGTTCTGCCTTGTAAGAGAGTCAGACAACTAGATCACATACAGGGCAAGAGTTCTAAATTTCAAGGCAATTTTCAAGGTCAGTGAAGACTGAGGACATAGGAGAACCTGTACTATAACATCATGTAACTCAGTTGTGCCCCAAATTTTCTGATCAAGGAGATTAAGGAGCCACAAAGGAATGTGATCAATGATGTAGAGTGTGCCTAAGGAGAGTCACCTGGAGAGAAAACTTTCTCTCAGGCTTTCACAGAGAGCAAATTGGTCAAGCAATGATTGTGACTTATCCACGTGGCTGACACTGACAAAGGATCTAGAAACTATGGTACAGGACTACAGGATAAATCCTGAGAGGACTTGACTGACCTTATCAGATACAAAAGTTATATTTCTTATTATATAGGTCTTGCTTTATCTTGGTCTTAACCATCCAGCAGAAAAGTATAAAAATGAGGTATATAAAGTAAAGCCATATTAATATGCTGAGCTGTAAAAGGCTCTAGTCCACAACTTCTGCAGATAACCCACTACTATTGTGGACTGCTGGACTGTGTTGGATTGTTTTGCTGAATTCAAGTACCTATAGTATTTAGATGCCAATAAAATTTCCATCTCTGACAGGACTAAACAAAAAAAGGGATACAAAGAAGGATCATTTTGTATTTGTATATACAGGAGAGTTAAGATACATATACAGCTACTTTTGCATAATTCAATGAGAAGAAAGATGTGTACTAACAATGTTTGGACAGGATATCCTGTCTGCTTCTTGTACTATAGATAACCACTAAGAAGATAACAATGTACAAAGTATTAATTATTGAAACTGTCTTATTAATCAGCTTTGAAACTGTCTCATTCATATGTTTCTCAGTAAAATAAAATAAACAAAATAACAAAATAAATAAATAAATTTCAAGGCCATAATGACCTGTGCATTTAACCTAGACACACGTTTAACAGTAGACTCTACCAGCTCCTCTCTTAAAAGATGTTTTAATTTTAGTTTCTCTTCCACTTGTTTCAAGGTTATGTAACCTAACAGGAGGTCACACAAATCTCCCAACAAAGAAATGCAAGTTGGCTTAAAAAATAAAACCATGCATAATAAAGACAAACACAAAACTGAAACTTACATTTTTCTCCATGACAAACAAGTTTCACCTTCCTTGTTAAGCTCAAAAATTACAATCTTAGGGCTGGCAAGATATCTCAGTGGACTAAGCACTTGCTTAGGCAAGCACAGGGACTAGGGTACCACATGCTACACTAGCCCCACCCCTTAAAACAAGAGAAAGAGAAACTAAAATTAAAACAGATCTTTTAAGAGAGGAGCTGGTAGAGTCTACTGTTAAATGTGTGTCTAGATTAAATGACAATATGGGGTGTGCTGAGCCCATGATGGAGTTCGGATGTGGTGGCACACACCTGTAATCCCAGCTGCTGGGGAGGCTGAAAACAGATGGATCACTATGAGTCTGAACTGAACAGTGAGACCCTGTACCAAAAAACTGAATAAAATAAAAAAATTATAATCTTTAGGGGAAAAGAAACTAAGACAAAAGGGGCCCTGGCTTCCTCTGCTGATATATGACACACTATACCTTCAATACTGCATCAACCAGAAGCTCCTAATTAACATCTTACCGTCCTCCAGCTCAAGACATAGATTGTACACGGCCACAGGTCTCTTCATCCTCTGTCCTTGTCTCTTTGATTGCCGTGGTGGAGCATTTGGGGGTGAAGAGGACAGGCACACCGACTCAGGGAATGTGGTATCTGGTGAGGTCCGAAAAATCTGCCATCAAACACAAAGAACATCTGTTGTTGGCCATGAAGAGACACCTATACATTTCTATGGCAAACCGACATCAAACATTTGACTTGGATTTTATAAGTTAGAGCCAACAAAACCTATTCCTTCAAATTTGAGGTATAAGCCAGAAAACTTTTACTTTTTTATTCTTAACAGATTTTAAAAATAAAATATCTCATTAAAATTAAAAACTAATTTGTTCTAATAGTGTTTGTAAACAGGATATCATGTCTGCATCTTGTACAGCAAATAACCACTAGGAAGAGAGTATGCAATGTGTTAATTATTAAAACTGTCCTACCAATTTGATTTGCAACTGTCTCATTGCTATTTCTTTCTCAATAAAATTATGGGGAAAAACAGTAAAAACAACATCAGATCATTGTACTTCATTCTTCCTCAAACTAAACAAGCACAGTTACCTTTATGAGGTATAGATACGGCCAAAGCTCTTTGTTCCCAAAGAAAGTAGCCGGGACAAATTCTCAAAAACAAGTTATACCTCACTAAATTTACATAAGGGGTTATATTTGTACCCAAATGCTAGCATCAATGCTTTTTCTAACTACATAAACAGAAACATCTCACTGCAAATGTTTTTTACACATTTAAAAATAGGTTATGCTTATGAAATTACCTTTGTGGATGGATTCCTTACTTACATTTTTCATAAAATGCTTCATAGATTTTTATCAATTCATTATTACCCTCCAACTTCTCTGAATAATTTCCCCCTCTATTTATGAAACCTACAACATTGATACTCAATTTATCTACAATGTTATTCATGTATCAGTAATAATAACATTAATTAAAATGTGCCGCTTGTTTGCTTAGCAATCCCCCCCTTTTTGGAGATAAGGAAAACCATATGATGCTAGCGTGATTCGTAATAGATCTTCCATGACTAACAAAACTTGAAATCAGAGGCTATTCTCCCATAACAGAGGAGACCTTTTGGCCTTCAATAAGTTAAAACAAAATACAATATATCAACCTAACAGACATTTTCTTCAAAGGACTGATGATCTTCAAGGGGAGAAACAAGCCAGCCAGCCAGCTTCAAACAAAACATAAATGTAACACCTCCCAACAGAAGGTACAGAATGAACATCTCAGTATAGTAAGGCAACTTGTTTATTTAGAGAACACTCACACAACCTGTGACATGAGTGAGGGCATCATGTACATGTCTATTATTACTTAAAATGAAGAATGATATTGGAGAGTTCCAGACCAGGCGCAGCGTGGGCCAGACCCTCTCCCACCCCCTTGGGAGGCCCACCACCAATCCACATCACCTCCCCCACCCCGCCTGCCCAGTAGGAATTTCTGCACATTCTGGGAAGTCCCAGAACCAGTCCTAGCCAAGGTCCAGTGAGTGTGTGGGAGAGGTTCCTGCTACCCTGCGCCAGCCGGACAAAATACCAGTCCCAGCCCAGGCACAGTGTGGGCAAGACCCTCTCCTACCCCCTTGGGACGCCCACCACCACTCCACAGCACCTCCCCCACCCCGCCTGCCCAGTAGGAATTTCTGCTGCCTTCCGGGAACCCCCAGACCCAGTCCTAGCCCAGACCCAGTGAGTATGAGGGAGAGCTTCCTCTCCCTTATACTCCACCTAGCATACATGCCTGGGGTGTAACCCTGCAGCTGCAATCCCTGCAGAGTATAGAGGATAGATCCACCGAGCTAGTCCAGGAGCAGAACACCTCGCCACAGAGGCACAACAGGTTCACCCTCAAGGGAAGTAGCAGGAAGGAGCTGAGCACAGCAAACAAACCCAAGTCAGGCACACCTGCATGAGTCCAAACTTTGTAGAGCAGCACCTGAACTTCAGTACATGCGAAGGTTATAGCTACAAGAAAGATCTACAACAAAGGTCAGAAGACAGTGCTACACAAAATGACGAGAAGAAACAAAATTCAACCTCAGAACCCAAGCCCACCCGTAACAAGTGCAGAGGACACTAACACAGAATAAATTGGAAATCACACAGCTGAAAGCAATGAACCAACGCCTTCTGACATAAAAAAACAGCTGCAGAAAGGTATACAGGACCTCAGACTGGAAATAAAAAAAGAAATCCCTGAATTAAGTTCGGCACTAAAGAATCAAAGGCAGAAACCTATGGAGGAAAACCAGTGCCCACCAGAACAAGAGCAGAGGACACAAGCTTCACTCAAATGTATGAATTAATAGCGTCGATAGTAAATAAGCAAGAGCAGAAAGATATAGAGGAAATCACAGCACAATTCTTTTCTAAAATAAAAAAAGAACTCTCAGAACTCACAGCATCTGAAGTAAAGAGGCAACTACAGAAACATAGGGAGGAAACCCAATCTGAAAGAAACACTGCAGTAAAAGAATTTATAACTGCTTCTAAAGAAGATATTGCTTTAAAAAAATTGAGGGGATTAGAAAAATGACGGATTTCTTGAATGAGCAATACAGGAAAGAAATAGATTGCATGAAGCAGAGTCAAAGAGATATAGAGGAAAT